CAATTTTGATTAATAATTTTTTCTAGCGATTTCTCCATTTCATCTTAAAGTTTTTTGATATGAAGTTAGCCATATTATCTTTACCTTTTTATTTCTCCAGCATCTCTAGTTATGACCCTTTCACCTTCTTTTGTTTTTTTATTAATCCTTCCAGAGCTTTGAATGTTTAACCCACTAGTTCTTTTTAAAGTTATTTTAAGCCCGGCCGGGCGTGGCTCAGCGGTTGAGCATCAGCCTAGGATCCAGGCGATCGGGGTTCGATTCCCGGTCAGGGCACATGCCCGGGTTGCGGGCTCAATCAATGACTCTCTCATCATTGATGTTTCTATCTCTCTCTCTCCCTCTCCTTTCCTCTCTCTGAAATCAATAAAGATATATTTAAAAAATAAATAAATAAATAGTTATTTTAAAATGCCAGGATGTGTTATAGCTATTTGTTTTTTGTTAGAGATGCTGGGGACTGAAGCGTTACAGTTTTAATCTTTATTATCCTTTTGCCAGAGGATATGAGCTATAAGGTATCAGTTTTCTGAAATTTGAGAATAGCTTTATGATTTATCATGTGATCAGTTTTCATACATGTTCCACACATACTTGAGAAGAATGTGTGTTCCCTGGTGGTGGAGCACAGTGTCCATTAGATCAGTCTTGTTAGTTGTGCTGTGCAGATCTTCTCTGCACTGATTCACCTTATATTTGGTTTCTTATTTCCTAAAGTCTCAAGATCTCATTATGGTAGATTTCTCAGTGTCTCTTGAAGTTGTCATTATTTGCTTTCTTTCTTTTTTGGGTTTATTATTAGATGCATACTAATTTAGAATTCTGTCTTCCCTGGTGAGTGAACCCTTCATAATCATGCAGTGACTCTGTGAATGCTTGTTGCCTTGGTTTTGTTGTTATGGCTATTTACTATGGCAAGATTTTGGTTAGTCTTTTTCTGAATATCTTAGATCTTTCTTTGGTTTTATATTTTGAGTTTGCAGGAGACACACTTAAAACCTTGCTGACAGGTCATGAGATAACTCGTGTCTGCACTTATATTAAGTAATTTTAAACACCTTGCAGACTGGACACGACGGAAAAGTAGCCAGCTGCACGGGCAAGTTCTGGCTCAAAATAGCCAGTTGGCAAGGTTAAAAGACCAAAGAGAATCTACCTTTTAAACTGGGTAGTTTTGTACATTTATGCAGGGTGTACCCCCCAAAATGTATGTACATGTATGTACACTTTAACAGCTAATAGCTCAATTTTGAAAATGAAATATATTTTAATAAACACTGCCTTTATAATTAAAGTATGGGTATACATCTTTGGGGGGACACCCTATGTTTATTGCAATTACAAATATAAGTTGGATTTATTTCTAGGTCCTCATCATAAATTGTGTCTTGAGGTTTTTTGCCTACTCACCCCTTCTTGCCCTGTCTTTACTTTTCACCTTTTCCCCTGTGTATTTGTTGGGTTTGTCCTTTCTTTTTTTAATCCTCACTGGAGGATATGTTTTTGTTGATTTTCAGAGAGAGAGAGAGAGAGAGAGAGAGAGGGAGGGAGGGAGAGAAACATTGATGTGAGATAGAAACATTGAGCAGTTGTCTCCCATACGCACCCTGACCGAGGATCAGACCCCCAACCTATGCATGCGCCCTCTAATCGAACCTACAACCAACCAAGCCACCCAGCCAGGGCTTTATTTTCAAATCTGTTTTTTCTAATGAGTTCTATTTGGTTTACAAACCTCCTCATTTGTTCTGTGTAATCTTTTGCTTGTTACTAATATTTTCCATGCTCCTATCCCTTTACACATCATTACTTTTTCCTGTAGAGCCCTTGGGGGTGATTCCACTGTTGTATAATTGTATTTTTCACTCATGGTGCCCTTTCCCCTTGAGTTCAGTGATATTTTTCACTTGTTTTCCTTGGAAAATTGGAAGTATTTGAAGTATGGACTGAAATTGAGGCCCTTGAGAGAATCTACTCTGCCAGCTACTGTGGGGCTACCAGCCTGAAACCACTCGATCAGCTTGAGGTTCTGATTTCAGATCACAAACCTTGAGGGTGGGCCTGTATGAGTTTGAGGGTGCTGGTGATTTATCCCCTCCACCCAGCACCAAAATGGAGACAGGCCAGTTTCCTAGCTGCCCACTTTTCTGTGGGAGCCTTTCTAGACTCCAGTGAGCCTCAGGCTTTAGGTCCAGTCCCCCCACCACTGCTGTTTCATGGTCTCCAGAGTTGAGTAGAATTCTCAGGGCAAAGCAGGCTTTGGTACTGGCTTACCTCGCAGGTTTCCCTACTTTCACTTCATTTTTGGAGTTTTGCGATAACTTACTGTCCAGTCAACTCAGTGGTACATTTTAGAAGATACTGTGTATTATTTAATATTACTCTACATTGTTGCTAATGTTTTATCCAGCATTTGGTTTTGTAAACTGGGAGTTACTGAGGGTATCCGGACTGCCTTACAATCGGAAATGAAATCTAAATTAAAGCTTGCTTTCCTGGCTGGCATGGCTCAGTGGTTGAGCATTGACCTATGATCCAAGAACGTGAGGATTGATTCCCGGTCAGGGCACATGGCTGGGTTGTGGGCTCGATCCCTGGCAGGAGGCAGCCGACCAATGACTCATCATTGATGTTTCTCTCTCCCCCCCTCTCCTTTCCTCCCTCTGAAACCAATAAAAAAAACCCACAAAAACCCCCACAAAAAACTTTACTTTGCCCTTGATGTAAGTAGGAAACATGGAATATGGTAGTTTGTAGTCTGTGCAGAATTACATGGTGCCAAGCTCCCTTTTTTTTGCACTGTCCTGAAAGATAGCACTATGATGAGACTGCTGCTTGCAAGGTTAGAAATGTACAGCAGGAAACCTTAGTTATACTCTTCCTCCAAAGGAACTGCTCTGCCATTTCCTTAAATGGCCATGAGCCCAAATATTACTCCTTTGTGTTCTTTGATTAGTCATTACTTTGGTCTGAAAAAAGGATTTGGACCTGGTTTCTTGTAAACCTAGCATTGGGGATTATATATGCATAAATAAGCCTCTTGGCATACCTGTCCTGGCTGAAAGGCACTGTCTGTTATGACTTATCTTTGCCCAGCAACTTGTTTTCAATTACCCAGTGTTTAAGGTTTGGAAATATCTTTCATTCACATGTACACTGAAACGGACTCCAGTGAGCCTCAGGTGCAAAAGACACAAAATTGTTTGTTTTAGAGGACACTCAAAAAAGATATAAATTATACCTTAAAGAGGCAAAAGTTTATGCTGTAGTGTCAGAATTTTTAAATCTTATGTATTTTTGTGGAAGGTAGAGGAATTACCTATCAGCTTACAACTTCCACCACTAAAACTGATCCATGGCCATTAGGTTACTACAGACAGAGCCAGCACATATTTTACTGACTTTGGGGCACAATTGCTGGCATTAACCTTACATAGTCTTTATAGTGCACTGCCTTGCACAAGTATCTATTTAATATTCAATGCAAAAGAAAATTGTTTCTGGAAGGTCAGGGAAAGTGGTGACTGTACTATTGCCCAAGTTCACAGCTTGAGGTGATGGCCAGAAGCCAGAGAATCCATCCCAGTGCCACTTGTGGCACATGATTCAAAGGGATTCTGGCTTATGGTTTTAAAATCCTTAAAACCAGGTATAAAAAAGTCTTGAAACAAACATTTAAGGGGCTATAGCTTCTTCTTTAGTAGCTTCTATCCATCCCCTCACTACATCATAATGGAGATACTCTACTCCAGGAGTCTTACCTTCCTCATGTCATATACTTGGCTATGATGTTTCTAGCTATTTGTATTTCTTTTCCTCCTACAGTGTAGTATCTACTCAATATTCTCCTTTCTTCAAAAACACGCTTTGTTGCGTTTTCTGGATGGCCTTGGTGGGTGGATTAAAGGAGAACCAGTTACCTTTAATAGTCCTAATTGAACATAGTTATGAGGATCCAACTAAAAGGATTTCTGCAGCAGTAGCAATTAGGCATGAAACACACACAAAAAAAGCTCCAACCATTTGCTAAGAGTGAAATCTTGCAGTGCAAGATTTTTTAAAAAAATACTTTTTCTCTTAAGGAAAGTTTTCAAGTCTGAAACAAGACAATGTTTGTTGCTTATGTGATAAAATATTTTTGAGTCACTTAAGTGATATATTGGGTAAGATCTATACCAAAAGCTAGTCTACTTTAAATACATATTTTTGGTCTCCCTGAATTAGATCATTTATATACTAATTTTTATCTATATTCTATGACTTGGTCTCTGAAGCCCACCTCTCTCTAGCAGCATGTACAAAGTTATTTTTTTTAAAAAAACAAAACACTTCTAGGTTAATGTAGGACGTACATAACTTAGGAAGTTCCAGAGGGGAAGAACGATTTTCAGTTCAGTGCAACGTAAGCCAAGAAAGTCGCCATCGCTAAAGGGAGGCTGAACTGACCCACGAAGGATGCTAAGGTCCTGGCACCACCAGCTAATTATTAAATTTAGGAATGTTTTTGTATATATTGCTATAACTTTTAAAGTCGGATTTTTCTTTATCTTGACTCTTAAACATAATGAGATCTTTACACTAGTTTTAGAGGAAGACTCGGATAACCAAAGACCAGGTGCTTTTTATCAGTTATGTAGTCACGTACTGCCTGGGTCAGGTGGGAGACACTGCACAATACACTTGTGAGGGTCAAAGCCTAACATTTTTGCATATCAACCCAGCAATTCTTCTAAGAAATTATTATTTTAAAAATATATCTTTATTGATTTCAGAGAGGAAGGGAGGAGGAGAGAGAAACAGAAACATCAATGATGAGAGAGTCACTGACCGGCTGCCTCCTGCACGCCCCCTGCTGGGGGTCGAGCTGCAACCCGGGCCTGTGCCCTGACCGGGAATCGAACCCCGATCTCCTGGATCCTGGGTCAGTGCTCAACTGCTGAGCCATGCCCGCCAGGCTCTAAGAAATTATCTTAAGAAAACAGTCATGGATGTACACAAGATTCAGGGAGGTGTTGTTTATAACTGTGAAAAGATGTATACAATCAAAATGTCCTATGGAGGATTAAATAAATTATGGTTCAGTGATACAACAGGAGGAATAAAAATAGAAGACTAATGACCTGGAAAAGATATTCACAATATATTCAGTGAAAAAAGCAGGTTATGAAACAGTTAAGCAAGCAAGCATGAGCCTATTTTTATAAAAATATATTTAGCAAAGTAAAAGGACAAATGATATTTACCAAAATATTAACACTGGTTAGTTCAACACAGTAGTAGGCTGATGGCTGATTTTGTTTAACCACCCCTCCCCTTCTTTGCTTCCTTGAATTCTCTGTGATGATTATTTTTTAAATGGGAGGGGTAGTAAGGGAGTTATTAACCTCAGATTAGCCCAAATATGCCCCCAAAGGCGCCTTTTGGCAAAGTAAATGTTTCTGTTCAGCCTACGTCTGGGAAGCTGCTTCCACCTCATAAATATGAGTGTCCTTCCAAGAGCGCATTCAACCACACGCTTTCCCTTTTAGGCAAACTGTACAAGAGCAATTATTGATACATTTTTTTAAAAAACCACACTCAAGTTAATTATCACCTAAAAGAATAGATGAAAAAATACAAATCCTTTCTTTAAAAAAGGAACAACCCAAGTACATACTACTAAGTTATACAGTTACATTATCTAAGTTCACTTTATTGCAGAGATCAAGACAGCACACTAGAAGTTGGCGGCTTCTGTCCCACACCACCTGTGGCGCTCACGCAGTTCATTTCACTCACTCACCCATGCAAAAAATGTCAGTATACAGACAGCGATGTCTGATGTTTCTTGGTTCCTATATTATAATAGGAAACTTGACATTTCAGTTAGAAAGGTAAAATGAGGACATCTACCATCAGACTATAAAGTCCCTCTGTTGGAAGAGGGATAGTATAGTATTTGAAGATATGTTTTGGAAAAATCTTATATATAAAATGAAAGGGGCACCATTTCAAGAGCACTAGGACTACATTAAACTTAAATGAATTCCAACACTTGTAATAAACAAATGCAGTCTTAACAAAATCTCCAATAAGCTTAAAATTACCTTAACAGGCACAATGAACAGTGTAAACACTGTTGATGGGCACCAAGGTTAATGGGGCAGACAATATTTGCTTCTGCATTCACACTCAAGTTTGTAATTACATTTTTAAAAAATGGTGCTGCTTAAGCTATGAATGTTTTACAAAAAATTATTTTTAATAAATATGGCAAATGCTAAAAATCTAGCTAGGTTCTCATGCAAGATATATAACCAAGACAAACTCAAATTTATAATAAAGGCAACTTGCATTCAAAATGAACTCTACCCTTATATTTTATTAAAAGGGCAAACATCATGAATTAACCCAGCTGCTTACTTGAATTACAAAAGTAACATGATTCAATATGAAAATAAGAAACTGTCTACAAATCTCTGACAGTAATAAATTGCAATATACAATGCATACAGGAGTCATACAGAGCAACAAACTCTCGTACAAAACAAAAATATTTTAATACCTTTAAAATCCAAATTTTTCTTTAAAATCATTCATGAAAAAGATCCTCAAGTCAGAATTAACACCTCAATTAGTCAAGCATCAGGAAGCTACATTACAGCTATTTAATATACAGAGAGACATCCTTTCCCAGTCCTGTCTTCCTCATGTCTCTGCTTCAGAATCCTACAGACTTGCTTCTCTCTACTCCTCATTCCATCATTTCTTCAGATCATGAAAACTGAATTTGTTGAACACCAGAAATCTAAGATTAGAAAATTTAAATTGACAAGAAAGAAAAATTAGTTTAAAAATAACATGCATATTATAAACATTTGAAGAATAAAAACACAAAAAAAATAGGTGAAAAATAAGTCTGCTGCTCACCCCAACTCTCCACTCTCTCTACCCAAGGGAGCTACTTTATTAATTTCTTGTGTGTCTTTCTGAAATCTATATAAATATGAATGCGTGTATATATATTTTTAACCATTAAGAGAGTACCAAACAATTATATATTTTGAGAAAATAATACTTAACCTTTTTTATAAAATCAGGTCAATAATAATAATGTGTTGAAATTAAGTACCTGTGATCAAAATCAATGAATGTAATCAATTTTTAAAATAATTTAAAATACAAAGAAGGTACTCTACCTGTTGATATGATGTTGTATAAACCATAACATTTTGCTGTTGACCATCTGCAGTTATTAAGCCAGCTGGTAACTGGTTAGCTAAAAGACAAAAAAAAGTTAAAGTGAGAAAAGAACTGCATCTTCTTTCTTGGCCTGAACCATAAACTTGTGCCATTAATGTCTCATTACAATTCTGTTGCTTATCAATATAATCTTAGGCCAAATCCTACCCTCCAAATCTTCCCTTTTAAAAAGAGCTCCCTAAAAAGCACATTTCTTCTATAGCATTTTTGATTTTCTGAATCTTCACGTCTCTGAAGTGTACTTTAGCTAACTTCTCATGTGTACAAATCTGCAGAAATGAGTTTCTGATTCATGGCAGACCTACACCATGACGGCTGGCTGGAGGCAACACATAACTAAGCAGCATATATTTTACATATGAGAAATAAAAACATATACATATGAAATTTCTATGAGAAATAAAATCACCATATGTCAATATGATGCTCAATTTAAAAAAGGTAAACCAGTTCAAATTTATTTAAATCACAAGATTTTTATATTGCAAACTACAGTTTTCAGCATTCCTATCCCATGTGAACCTTAAACCAAAAAGTAGGGGCTATGGCAACTGGTCAGAAGTATTGGTGAAAGATGATAATGTCTGCAGAATTCAAATGATCCCTTATCCCTCACTGACTTCAAATACACGGGCATGAACTAAGAGCTATTCAGGACTGTGCTGTCTAAACGGTGCCGCTGTTCCTCAAGGGCCGCGACAGACACTGCACAAACGCATCACCACGCTGCTTACTGAAGGCCTCCTCTGTCAGCTCTTCACCTAGTCCATCCGTAGCTGTCACCGCTCCACCAATTCCCTTCTCTCCTTTCATCGCCTGGGGAAGGAGAACCAAAATGTAATCACTGCTATTCAAAGGAAACTGTTCTCTAATCGACAGTGCTTGCTTGTTTCCTAAAATTGGGAGGTCCTATTTTTACAAACACTACACAGAGTATTTATTAACACTTCTGGTTAATTACATATGAAGAGGTCCTTCAAAATGCTAACTTTTTATACAAGCAGTAATCATCACAAGACAATCTTAATAATGACCTTGAAAATCCAAAATATTTATGGGTAAAAATAAAGAAATTATTCTAATTCCACACTACATCAAAAGGAAAATAGAACACTACTTAAAAATGAAATAGTCTGTAAAATACTAAATATTCAGCTTATGAATCTACTACAAATAATCCAAGTTATCAATGATATGTAGAGCTCTCAGCCAACTGGGCAGTACTATAACAGCAAGTTTAGAGTTTAATTTTTTAAATTTATTTTTTAATATATCTTTATTGATTTCATAGAGAAGAAAGGAGAGGAAGAGAGACAGAGAAACATCAATGATGAGAGAGTCATTGACGGGCTGCCTCCAGCACGCCCCCGACTGGGGACGGAGCCCACAACCCGGGCATGTGCCCTGACCAGGAATCGAGCCCCGGTCACCTGGATCCTAGGTCGATGCTCAACCACTGAGCCATGCCCGGCCAGGCAATTTTTTTTTTTTTTAAACAATAAAGAGCTAAGATAGGAGGGACAAGGATTCATTTGCCTTCCCGGGTCTTGATTTTCCTAAGCTGGATGGAATTTAAAATTTCTAAATCAAAATTACAGTTTGGACCAAAGACCTCCAAGTCCCCATCCACTCTAAGGGGGATGGTGCTAACGATCTGGAAAATGCTGTGAAGAATCTGCATGTTCTCCTCCTACTTTAATCATCCCACACAAACCACTAATGGTACCTAACAGCGAAAGATACGAAGAGAATATTCTGAAAGCAATGTGACTCTTACGCCCAAGCTGCAGTGTGGAAATAAACACACTGATCTTAACTCATTTTCACGAAATTCACAGGCAAAGATAAACCAAGGAGGAATATAGTTATAATTCCCCATTTTTCTCATCTAAAAGGCCCAAGCTTTGAGATGGTCCCTGTTAAATTGATAACAATAACAGCTCGCACCGTCATTACTGAGCATTCACCATACGTCCAGCTCAGTGCAGTACATGGACTGTTCTACCGAGTCCGCTCAAGAATGCTGCGAGGCAGGAACTATTACTAGCCTCCGAGTCCGCTCAAGAATGCTGCGAGGCAGGAACTATTACTAGCCTCCGAGTCCGCTCAAGAATGCTGCGAGGCAGGAACTATTACTAGCCTCCGAGTCCGCTCAAGAATGCTGCGAGGCAGGAACTATTACTAGCCTCCGAGTCCGCTCAAGAATGCTGCGAGGCAGGAACTATTACTAGCCTCACTTTACAGACCAGGAAACCAGGCCTAAAGTACTGAAATAATCTGCCCAGGGTCACAGAGTTCACATGTGGTGGAGCTGGGATTTGCCCTCCAGAGTCCACATTCTTAATCATTACGTAACTATGCTGTCATTACTAATAAACAGAGGAAAGAGAGGACTTACTATTTAAGTACAGTAACATAATGATTACACATGTCTGAAAAATACTATGTAATTTGCTATAAAATGAATTTTTAAACAAATGGTACATTTTAAAAGTTGGTGAATAGTGTGTCTTATTTTCTTAAAAGCATGATGGAAGACATTTTACTTACCTCTCTGAACTTCTGAAGGTACAATTTTAGGGGTTCTACATAACTGTCAAAGCCTAAGGTAGACATGGCAAAGAGAATATCTTCCCCATTGATTGTCTTCCGTTTCTCCTGATGGCATCTTTCGCTGGCCTCAGATGTTATAAAGCTGATGAACTCACTCACACATTCCTGAACACATTCTTTGGCATCTTTTGCAATCTGAAGAAAAAAATCATTGGTAAATTTGCAGGGACTATAATCATCACCTTCCTAACAACCTGCAAAAGTGAAAGGCCATTCAGAAGAATACAAACTTCAGTTTATTACTGTTAACCTGTAATCTTTGAAATATATGGTAATAACATTAACACAATGTGTGCTATTAAAATCGCAACCCTCAGAGTGAGAATTAAAAACTCAAACACCAGTGAGAGATGACTTGACAACCATTCACAAAAAACAGATATAATTTAGATATAAAAGCAACCACTGGAAGTCCCTACCACCCCACGATGAAAACTCTTACTGACCCAAGTGTCCCAAGAAAATCAATCAGGTTGTGTGTGTGTAGTTAGTATACTGTGGGCTTCAGACTTAGGTACCAGTTCTCTGCTCTACCATTTCCACAAATGAGGACACCAGCATTTAAAAAACAAACACTGAATTCACACAAGGCTTACAAGGCAGTGAAATAATGACATCTGGTGACATTTTTCCTACGGCAGATACGAAGTGCCAGGTATAGGTTTTGAGTTTACTAAAAAGCCTACCTAAAGAAGCACCTCATAAAAACAATTCTTATTTTAAGGGTCTGGGGTTTGAAAGTAAAACTCTAATGGACTAAATCATGCAATTCCAAAGCCACTTCTAACAGGAATGACACTCAAAATCCCTGCTGAAACATACTGTCTTTCCTCTCCATGCCTGTATTACATCCTGGAGAAAAGTAAACAAGAGTCACATAAATGCGTCAAGCAAGAGAATATAATGCGAGCTATATATATAACATTAGACTGTCTAGTAGCCACGTTAAAAGAAACAGGTAAGTTAATTTTGTTTTATTTAACCCAATAAACCTAAAATATTTAAATACAGGATCAATTTAAAAATTGAGATATTTTCATTCTTTTCTTCACACAAATCTTTAAAATCTAGTGTATGTTTTACATTTATAAGCGCATCTCAGTTTGCTCAATAACATTTCAAGTGCTCAATAACCATTTGTGACCAGTGGCTATGGGACTGAACAGAGCAGGCCTAGCCTATTTCAGCAATAATCAGCAGTTGTGCTTTTTTCCTTTAAAACATAAAGAGGACCTCTCAAACTGGAACTTCTAGGCTGAGTGATGTATTTTAGTAATATATTTATAAGCTTTATTACTTTCATCTGTACTTTATAAACTACAAAATGATGGAAGTTTATTATGCAATATAAAATGTGTGAATTTTACTTAAGACCAAGTGATGAGTATAGTGACCATGTGTTTTTAAAGTTGGTTCTAACAAAACTACTTAGAAAAACCAGTTTGATTTAAATGTATGTTAATATCTACAACTTTGTAAAAAATAGTTGTTTCCAAATAAAAGGATTTTTTTAAAGAAAAACATCCATTATCAGTCCAATATGACCCACTTTTGCTGCAACATTATAGAAGTTACAACATCATATGCCCAAACCTGATAGTTCTGACAATGCTCCTATTTTTTCAAAGATTCTTGTATTTTATCTGCTTCTAATAGGTGGGGGAGGGGTGCATTCTAGGAACATTACAGAATTGAAAATGGAACATTCTTCAGCAACTAAGTATTAAAATTGAAAGAAATATTTGATTTGCTGAAGGACTGAAATCAATGGCTAACTGTAGTCATGAACTATGTGTTCACGTAGTTTTACATCCCCCCGGCCCCTAGGAAACCTAGTTAGGCTTCTCCGTGTTACCTTTCCCGTCTGCGGGATGGCATTTTTCATGATCCTCGCCACATTTGCAATTGGAAGGTATATATCTTGTTCTCTGAAACTTTCTTTTGAACCATTTGTGTCTTCGTGATCATTCATGCTGTCCTCAGTATCTAACGAAATAAAAATAATTTAGTTTAAGGCTTCTCATAATTTCTACTTCAAGGTAGAGAAGAAAGACTGTCTATAGCGATCTAGGATGAGAACCACTCTGGCTCATTTCCTCCCCTTTTAGGGATCAGGATAGTGTTCTTTTCAGCACCTTCCTAGGGCCGGAACTCAGCCTACTTGTCGATTTCAAACCCACTGTCTAGAACACTTTGGTCTTCGACTCTGCCTACTCAGATCCTACCTGCCCATTCGCCAAACGGCTCAGTACCGGCCCACAGCACTTCAGAAGTGAGCTGTCCTTTCACAAAATACCACAAGTGCCTCTGCATCTTTTCTGACACATTATACAATTCTTTTCATTTCTGATTCCCTCTATTAGATTTTTTCCACTAGAGACCAGGGATGGGCTTTGTGTCCTTCCTAGCACCTGGTAGCACCTTTCACAGAGCAACTGCTCATAAATATGTCCCATGACTGAGCTATAAAACTTATAGACCTTGACCTATGATGACTCCTTGAATATTGCTAGGTTAAGAGCTTGCATGTTTATCCAAAGCCAACTTTATATAGAAAGGAAAAACTGGATTTGAATATTACTGACCCAATTGTATTATTACTAATGTAGAATAGTTTTTGAACAAAGCTATAGCAGTGATCCAATGTTCTTACAAAAAGTGAATTTTCAAATTATGTAGATTTGGATATAATGGAAGCTTTCACAATACCAATAATATCCTTTATGATTAAGTGCATTATCTTGTAAGGAAACTTCCCCATTCCATGAATTAAATAGGGAAGGCACTCAAGCTGATTCAATATATATTTGTATGTGTTTAAAATGATGCTATCAAAATTAACTTGTTTGAGTATGTTTTAGGATGAAGTAACTAACTGCCCTCCTCTAATTGCTTCCTACAAAAATGTATCTTAACATTTTTAATCTTACAAATTAGAATGCCACAAAGCTAAATTATTTCTGACAGGCCAACATAATACTGCATAGCTCAAACTTAATATTGAATAAAAAATAAAAATAAATCTGTTCATAAGTACTAGAAATAATAGCTAGCAACTCACCTGCTAAAGAACTATCCCATTTACTGTATCAACTGAGTAAGAATTTTCCATATTTAATTCTCAAATAGGAAATCAGCAACAAATTTTTAAAGAAACTTTAAAAAGGCATACTTTTATAGAATTCTTTTCTAGGTCTCATCACTGTTTGAAGACTATTGCTAATTAAAGTAGCACGGTACACATTTTAGACTTTCACTGATCGGTGATGCAAGATTGCTAATTTTCCTGTAAAGACAAAAGTAACCTAGAACATTATATTAATAAAGTTTTCACTTCCTATTTTGTTTCTACTTGCGACTTTGTTCTAACTGTGGCTGTCTTACCATCATGCGGCTGTATAACATAGTGACTTCCTCCAATGTAGTCTGCAGAAATTCCTAGCTGAGAAGCGTCTGTTGTAGAACTGTCACCATCCATCTACGAGAAAAAAGCTTTTCAATATTCTTCAATAAAACTTGTCTAAAATAACATAACAGATTCAGTGCTCATGAAATGTCCCAGGATGGGTCCATTACATTTTTCATAGCTTAAGCTTACTAAAAGAAAACATTTATATTTCTTGATTTGGAAACCTTTTGATAATTTGCCAACTATCCGAGTCCCCTACCATCCTCTATAAGTAATAAACATAAGACCAACAAGGAAACAAAAATAAGAAAATGGATCTAAATCACCCACCTCTTTCTTTTCAACTGCACAATCCTCAAACACAGTACAGGCAACGCTGATTTACAACCTAACTTATCCCTGGACCAACAAGCAGAACCAAAATTAGTAGTCTCCTGAAAGTCACCTATATGAGTCACTTTCAGCTCTCCTGCTAAAGCCTAATATTCCCCGGAAACCCTTCTGTTCCTGCTGCAAACTTTCTTCGTGGTCTCACAGACATTCCACAATAGACAATGTCTTGGTTCAAACTGTTGTTTGGGACAAGAAGTGTACGGATTCCTTGCACAACCTGTACCCATGTAACCAAAGGTACACCCACATTTTGAATGAGCCCATCAACCTCTAATTCTAGCCAAAGGTTAGTTTTCTCTTTCCCCTACCCTCAAACTTTTTATTCTTTTTTTAAAAAGAGAAAGGAACGAAGGAAGGGAAGGAGGGAGGAAGAAAAGAAAGGGGGTAGGAGAGAGGAAGGAAGAGAGGGAAGGAGGAATCCCAAGGAGACTGGAGACCTGCATATAAGGATAGGAAAGGTATAACCACAGAAAAATGACTATTTGAAGATGCCTGCTTAATTAATTTTGCTCAGAGCTAGAAGAATTCTAAGAGGGAAAATCTGAGGGGGAAAAACAAAACAAAACAGAACCATTAGATTTAAACTGGCTACATTCCATTTCACCAACACGGCAAATCCTGGAAATCTTTCTGCTTTGCAGATAATACTGGGGGGGGGAAAAAGAGAAACAAAACAAGGGAATGGCTAGTTGTGGGTAGAAAATTTTTAATGCATTATCTGAATAAACTGTAGCAAAATTTAAGTGTAATTTATACTACTTCCAGGACAAATCAAGAGACACTTGATCCTGGCCGCTGTGGCTCAGTGGTTGAGCGGCGACCCAGGAACCAGGAGGACACAGTTTGATTGACAGACAGGGCACATGCCCGGGTTTCAGGCTCGATCCCAAGTAGGAGGCGTGCAGGAGGAAGCCAATCAGTGACTCTCTCATCACTGATGTTTCTCTCTCTCTCTCCCCCTCTCCCTTCCTCTCTCTGAAATCAATAAAAGCATATTTAAAAAAAAGACAGACATTTGATCCTAAATGTTCATTAAGGCCCAGGACCCAGCCCAAACTTAATGTTATTAATTGCAGTATCTGAACCCTTGTGGAACATGTCTTCTTTTCCACCTCTGTTGGATTTTTATCGAATACTAAAATAACAGGCTAGTTTCCAAGTCTTCATTCAATAACATGGCTTTTCTTTGATGATACATCTGTTGACTGTGGTATCTAATTTAATTGTAGATAGACACATTTCTAATAGTTGTTTTAAGGGGGTAGAGAACAGAATTCACCAACCTTTAATAATCTGTGAAAGTACAGGGTACCTATTTACTGATACTCTTTTTTAAAAATTTTATTGATTGACTGATTTTAGAGAGAGGAGGGGAAGGAAAGAGAGAGAAACAGATTTGTTGTTCCACTTATTTATGCATTCATTGGTTGATTCCTGTACGTGCTCTGACAGGGGATCAAACCCACAACTTTGGTGTATCAGGACGATGCTCTAACCAAATGAGCTACCCAGCCAGGGCCTCTAAGAAGTGATAAACAGTCAGTGGGCTCTGACTCTGACTTACCTACTAATCCCTAAAAACAAGCACCCCTACTGGTTGAATGTATTTCTATATAAAATAGAAATAACAATATCACCTTCCCCATCTTAAACAGCTAATATAAATGAATGTGAAACATTACCCAAATATAAAATGCTATATTCATCCTAATATGCAAATAAGATACTAGGAGGTTAGTCTTTAATAGATAAATATGATGGATTTTATAAGCCATAAAAGAGAGTTCAATTAAAATAGCTGTGAATTGACTAATTTTTACAATGCCCCCGGGAAGATCAAGGTGCAGGAGACAGGACCAGTGGTTATTTTAGAACATACAAATGAAAACAAATCTTTTTTAATGGGAGAGGGGGAAAAAAAACACCCAGTAACTAATTCTTTCCAAAATGAATGTCCACAGGATACCATGAGTCTTTTTAAATTAGCTTATCTGCAGGACACTGTTCAAATAACCAGGATCTGGGAGATTAATTTATAAATATAACATAAAAAGGATTAAAAGCAGAAAGTTTAAATCACATTATCTTGTTATATGCTGGAGTTAGCAGCAAGACCATCATTTGGATTAACAGAATTAGTCTGTAAACCTCAATCTTCTAAAAAATACTTCTGAAAGTATTTCAGTTGTCAGAATTACACAAACAGAAACCTGCTAAGGACAGCATTTGGCACGTAGAGTGCTCAGGAGACATCAGAGACCACCCTCCCTCCTTTGAAGATGAGCCACACCATCATCTGCTTAGCTGTCCGTGTCTTTGGTTCCGCATGTTTCAGCTTTTCTGTCCTTTGACCATACCTTCTGTCTTCCTCTCCTCTATCTTTCTACCATAAAAATCTGTGCTCTATACTTTAAACCCAGTGTTCCCCCATCCTCCTGAAATCTTTTGTGTTTACTCCACTCTGCAAGCCAAAAATTAGTGTTCCTTTCTCTGAATCTCCAAGGCACTTAGTATCTTCCATTCAACAAATTAGCCTCATCTTTGATGCTTACAATATGCTATCCATATATAGGGAATGGGGGGGGGGAACTTGCTACATACATCCCAAGGTTTTTTCTAAAACATCCTATAAAATTTACAAAACAGATGATGGGTTGCATGTAAGCCAGTCAATAAATATTTACCAAGTGGACACAGTCCTTATCAGGTCTGTGCTACGTGCTAGTGGCGAAGCAGTCAACGACACAGACAAGCCTCTGTCCCCATCTTGCAGAGGAGACGAATGTTACATAAACTGGGGGCATGGGGAAGGGGTGATGAGCACGGCCCATCAGTACTCCCAAGGAACAGGTGCTGGAACCGGGTCACCTGGTTTGAATTTCCTACTACTTACTGGTCACGTGACCTTGAGCAAGGATGACAAGAACAGAACTTGCCATGTAAAGAGTGCACTGTACAGCAGGAGTGCTCACTGAATGCTACAGCGAGCTATTCAATAATTACAGAAGACTAGCTGTTAGTGCTAAAAAAAACACACAGATGTTTTGTTATATGCTTTGGGAGTTTATTCCGAAAATGACCTCACTAGTCTGAGGAGTCAAGGAAGGCTGTCTTAGGAAATAAATATTTAAACTGAGACAGAAAGATAAATAGCCATCAGTTAGGCAAGGAAAGATGGGCAAAGAATGTTCCAGACAAAGGAAACGGAAATACAGTCCTGGTGGATTAGAATGAGCTAAGTAGGGGCTAGATCAAGGAGTGCCTCTCGATAAGAGCAGATCCAGAAGGAGTTCTAGCAAAGAGGGCAAATAAGGTTCCTTTTTTAAAAGATGACTCTGGCTACAGTCCAGTATAACAATGAACTGAAGGGGGAACAAAGTGGGGGCAGACGAGCAAGGACCATAATGCCTTGGTCAGGGCAGGAATTCAGGCAAGGTGATGGTCACTCCCAGTACCTGGAGATCGAGACAGTGAGAGACTGAAGAGATTTCAGTAGTAGGTAAAATCAGTAGACTTGGTAACTGACTGAGCCAGAGCTGGAGGAAGAACCAAGGATAATGCTGGGATGCTTGCAGCCAGGTAGAGGACGGCCACCGCTGCAGAGAATGGGAAGGAAGAGTGCGAGTGTTGGGCAATGCAGAGAGCCTGGCTCAAGGTGGTGACCATGAATGTATAGTGGTACCAGTGTGTCCACTGGTGACACTTACAGGATGGGTATAAGAACAGAGAAGCTAAAGTACTGCAGTGCATGCAGACAACAAAGAGGGAAGAGCATGTAGGGAAATGACACGAGAATGGGTAAAATGATGAATCATTAGGTTCAAGGGAACTGGCAAATATGGATGAAGAGTAGTTAAATCCCATTAAATTACTTTAGTGACTATTCTAATTATTTAGTTGAAAAGAGTGTTCTCTAAAATATGTGAAGTTAATGGTCAGCGGGCTAAGAAATGCACCTGGTTCCGGGTGCATCTCGCCAGGAGGCAGTGATGGACCACCGGCCCTTAGCACAGACCACCTGGGTTGGAAGCTGGGCTCCCGCTTACTAGCTCTATGTCTCTGCGTACCATCTCTTTGTGCTTCAGCTTCCCCATTTTCAAAATGGGGTTGCTATGAGAAGTGAAATTATCGTGCTTTTTAGCATTTAGCAAAGAGCATAAGTAACAAGAACTCGACAAATGAAACCTTACATGATTACTGTCCCTTCGAATACAGTTCTCATCATTCTGTCCAGGCATAAAGAGTGGACCCTCCACTTACCCTAACTAGGTTTGTTTTCTGCTCTGCCTTAAGGGCTGATAAAAACCTTAGTGCTAGAACATGCCTTCCTCAGGGATCACCAGATGCAGTTCTTTTGGTTGAGCAGTGAGGTAATCCCTGCTCAAGGAAGTTGTGACATGTCTGATGTCACAGATACAGTAGCAGATCCAGAACTAAGTGTCCAGACAGGCCAAGTGGTATCTCTTCACTAGGTTATCCTGTGAAACCCCCACTTGGACCATGCAGATCTACTCTCCCTCCCTAAACATAAGTTACTCATCTTCAGGCTTTTTACTTGGTGACACCCTCCCACCTACCTGAACCCCATTCATCCTGGGAGGCCTACAGGCTCCCGCAAAGACATTCCCAACTACCCAGGCCTACCACACTTGCACTATCCTTAGAACCCATATTTTCCATTCTGCACATAACTGTCCTCCAAGTATTCAATTTGACTAAAGTCCTATCAGACAGACAGCCTCTTCAGAGCTGGGACAAGTTTTTTATCCTGTAGCTTTGACAGCACTTAGGGGTGCATGGGAAACACTATGTGACAAGTCACTAAAAAGAAGGACCCACTGGGAATGAGGACAGGTACTGTTGGTCTATACTTGAAAGGCATTCATCCTATCAGGAATCTCCAATATAAAATCAGTGATAATCTTGTTTCCCGATAATTAATGTAAAAATCTAATTAACATCCAAAATGGTAAACATACTTACGGTCATGAAATACTGCCAGAACCGTGTTGTCAGTGGCGTTCAAGAACACTTGTCTAAACTGGTACCTAATCTTTGCCCAATTTCAACCTAGAAGATAAACACATATTAGAAAAAATGTATAGCCTACAGGCTTTCTTTGTAAAATTTTAAAAGGCACATATAATTTTATCTACAATTCTTATTCAATGGAGTGCATGGTGTAAAACAGTGCAAAAAGCAGGCCCCCAATAAATGTTTGTTAAATTGGAAGTTTTGGAGAACTCAAATTTTAAAAAGTTGGTTCTATTGCTGGCAGTGGGGGGAGGACTGCTTTCCCAACATAACCCCGAATCCAGTCATGCTCACCACAGTCATCACAACACACCAAATTATATAACGTGCAAGAGACCAAAAATTACACATCGAAACTACTTAAAATATTAACACCCGAGACACAATATCAACTTAATTTGGGGAGATGGTTTTCTTAATGTTTTAGAATGAGATTCAGGGGTCCAAAAGCTCAAAAGGGTAGAAAAATTTATCTCAGAAGACAATGCTTTTAAATTAAATATCTCAGATCATACTGGAAAGAAGATACATAGAACAACAACGCAATCAATTAAGATCTCTACTTATAATTTTAAAGCACTGCCATTCAGGACTAAAATTGCATCTGAATTGCTCCTCATTCTCACTGCAAATAGCTAATAAATCGGCATCAATTACTAATGTTACAATCTCCATTTCTCATTTGTTCTTTTCCTTCTTTCAAGTGAAACCATTAAAAGAGGGGTGTCAAAACAAAAAACATCCTTTCAGTGTTAATTTAAGGGAAGACAAAATAATTATATGCATCCCAGCATGAAATCTAGTAAACAGCAGAAAAAACTGTAGCCACTGAATTGAATTTTTAAAAAACCATCACAAGAGTAGAGGCAGCAAAGACAGGCTGGCATTGTCTGCTATAATGGTAAAAGCAATTTTTAATTTGTTTTCAAATACTGTCCTCTTTCTAACCCCAAAAGTGCCCAGAAAATTCCTTCCTGTAGCTAAAAGTGTTATTTAAAGGCTGTCTTTGGGGGGGGGGGAAAATCCTCACAACGCATAAAATACAAGAGCCATATATATTTGTGTATTTTGCTTGGGGGTGGGGATGGGTCTACACCTCACCACACTCACTCACCCAAATAATTGAGTATTTAAATTCAGTGTGTTAAAGTAAAACCCTATTACCTCATATGGTATATATTTTCTTAAAGGCAGGTTATGATATATGTGCAAGCTCAAGGGAATGCATACATCCGTTTAATGTTTGAAGAAATGCAAATTGTATCCAAGAAAAGCTACAGACCCTTCCTCCACCCTCCCTTCTCCAGCACCAGCAACCAGCGTTTTGCCTCAATAACACTCCTTAAATTAAGCTACAAGAGCAGCGCGGAAAAGAACCGAACTGCCTTTTAAGGAATTCTGGTTAAACTTTCAATGCTTTACAAATAAAACCCCTATTTATTAATGCCGCTTAATGGGCCGGTTGCCTCACCACTTTCCGTGGCTGAGTAGTTTGCATCCCGAGTGCCCCAAACACCCCAGCGGGCGTGGCGTGGCGTGACCCGGGGAACTGTGCAGTCCCAGAGGGTTGGCGGGGCTGTTTGGTTCTTTTTTCAAGGCCGGACACTACCTAAGCTTGTTTCAATTACCTTGCCATGGCACTTTGGGGGCGATTAGGACTTCGGGGCGCTCTGTAATTCTTTGTTCTCGGAGACTACCGCTCCTAAGGCCCAGCACAAGCCCCCGACCCCCGGCCCAGGCTGAACCCCGGTCCCACCCGAGAGGCTCCTTCCCACCTTCGGGGCGCGTCCAGGGGCCGCGAGCCGCCAGGTGGCCGCATTCTTTACGCGCGAACCAGGCTGCGGGGAGGCCACATCCACTCCTTCCTCCCGGGCCTCGCTTCCTCCCGCGAGGGTGCGGGGCGGCCCG